ATGCTTAGGGGGTTACACATATGCATGCATGCATGTACAAAAAATGAAAGGTGTCACTCTTGCAGGCTAGGTGGAAGCCCATGCATGTATCACGATTGGACAGTAAGGGAGGCGCCATTGGACTTGGAGAAAGAGTACAAAAATGAATGGTGTCGCCACCCCCATTTGGCGAATAAGAGGTGTCATTTGTTACAGCATAGGCTCAGGCTACGTGACAGCCTTTGGGATTCCTTTCATTATTGCATGCAAGGCCATTGGAGTTGATGGGTGGAGTCTTACAAAAAACATGTATATGTGCATAATAGGGCCAGGATAGGTGGCAGCCTATGGGGTTTCATAAACCCATGCATCTATCACAATTGGACAGTAAGGGAGGCACCATTGGACTTGGTGAAAGAGTACAAAAATGAATGGTGTCGCCACCCCTTTTGGCGAATAAGAGGTGTCATTTGTTACAGCATAGGCTCAGGCTACGTGACAGCCTTTGGGATTCCTTTCATTATTGCTTGCAAGGCCATTGGAGTTGATGGGTGGAGTCTTACAAAAAACATGTATATGTGCAGAATAAGGCCAGGATAGGTGGCAGCCTATGGGGTTTCATAAGCCCATGCATGTATCACGATTGGACAGTAAGGGAGGCGCCATTGGACTTGGCGAAAGAGTACAAAAATGAATGGTGTCGCCACCTCATTTTGCGAATAAGAGGTGTCATTTGTTACAGCATAGGCTCAGGCTACGTGACAGCCTTTGGGATTCCTTTCATTATTGCATGCAAGGCCATTGGAGTTGATGGGTGGAGTCTTACAAAAAACATGTATATGTGCAGAATAGGGCCAGGATAGGTGGCAGCCTATGGGGTTTCATAAGCCCATGCATGTATCACGATTGGACAGTAAGGGAGGCGCCATTGGACTTGGCGAAAGAGTACAAAAATGAATAGTGTCGCCATCCCATTTGGCGAATAAGAGGTGTCATTTGTTACAGCATAGGCTCAGGCTACGTGACAGCCTTTGGGATTCCTTTCATTATTGCATGCAAGGCCATTGGAGTTGATGGGTGGAGTCTTACAAAAAACATGTATATGTGCAGAATAGGGCCAGGATAGGTGGCAGCCTATGGGGTTTCATAAGCCCATGCATGTATCATGATTGGACAGTAAGGGAGGCGCCATTGGACTTGGCGAAAGAGTACAAAAATGAATGGTGTCGCCACCCCATTTGGCGAATAAGAGGTGTCATTTGTTACAGCATAGGCTCAGGTTACGTGACAGCCTTTGGGATTCCTTTCATTATTGCATGCAAGGCCATTGGAGTTGATGGGTGGAGTCTTACAAAAAACATGTATATGTGCAGAATAGGGCCAGGATAGGTCAAATCTTCCAACCTTCGAATCAGTCATCAAATTCATACATTCCAACCTTCAAACATTACAGCATTCATACCTTCATACAATCAATAAACCTCAAACATTCCAACCTTCAAACCTTAAAACAATTCTACGCAATGGCCTCTTCACCACAATTTGTCGTCAAAGCACATTTCAACGGTGAGACATACATTTGTCCCACAGTTGGGTTTTTGTTTAGAAACACCGACAACGTTCGATTTCTCTTAAACGGGAAAGCCAATTTCTCGTACTTCAAGAAAAGATTGGAGGCCAAACTTGAACGAGGCCCGGTGTCCCAGATATTTTATCAGAATCCAATTTTTTTTGGAAACAACCAAGTAATTTTTTATAAGGTTGAAGTTCAAGATGACGAGGATCTCCAGAATATGATTTCCAGCCATGGCTATTCATGATACGACTCTATTGAGTTGTACGTTTTGCTTCAAGAGCCTCCGGTGACACAGGAGGTAGAGCCTCTGGTGACACAGGAGGTTGATCCTTTGGAGAATGAACAAGATGAGGTAGATGCAGTTGATGATGAAGAAGAAGATAACGAGTTAGAGTTTGATGAAATGGTGAACGATGATTCTGACGATGATGGCATCCCTCCTTCTACGCATGTTTATTGCGTCAGGCATATCGTCCAGAATTTCTCGAGGGAGGTCAAGGACAAAACATTGAGGAAAGTGGTTATGAATGCGGGATATGCATTGACACAACCCACATTCAAATATTACCGCAACGAGATCCGTTTGTCTAATCCAGAAGCCGGTAGGTGGATCGACAATATTCCGGTGGAAAAGTGGACTAGGTCATACGACAATGGCCAAAGATGGGGGCATATGACAACGAATCTTATTGAATCAACTAATGGGGTATTCAAGGGCATACGAAACCTCCCAATCACTGCCTTGGTAAAATCTACGTATTTTAGGATGGCTGCGTTATTTGACAAAAGAGGTGAAATATGGAATGCGGTGTTGCAATCTGGACAACTATGGAGTGAAAGCTGCATGAAATACATTAAGGCTGAAAGTGCTAAAGCCAACACTCACATGGTTACACGGTTTGACCGACACAGCCACAACTTCATTGTGAAAGAGACAATCGACCATAATGAAGGCCTGCCAAGACAAGAATACATGGTCATTTTACCTTCTCAATGGTGCGATTGTGGCAGGTTTCAAGCATTTCGTATGCCTTGCTCTCATGTCATTGCCGCTTGTTCTCATACCCATCAAGACATGCTTCAAATGCTGTCAAACGTTTACAAATCTGAAACGTTGCTCACTGTTTACAACAACAACTTTCCTTTGGTGGCAAAACCAGATTATTAGCCTGAATACAACGGCGATATAGTTTGGCACAATGACCAAATGCGAAGGAACAAGAAGGGTCGTCCCAAAAGTAGGCGCATCACAACAGAAATGGACGATCTTGACAGGTTGGAAAGAAAGTGTGGTTTATGCCGTCAGGTCGGACACAATCGCAAAAACTGTCCGAATCGGGCGTCTGGCTCGACCACATAAATATTGTAATACAATAAATCTTTTCAATATTTGTGTTGTAAACATTAGGGTTTTCCGTTAACAGATTTTGCTACAGTTAATAAAACGCGTACAACAATAATTAACGATATTCAATCTAGGAAATTATAACTGTTAACACAATTTCATCTGACCCATGCATCATCAGCATTACATCACTGTCTGTTTTGACTTCCTCCAACCACACATTAGGTCTTCCTGTCGCATGTGAGGTTGTTGTTCGTTTTCGCTGGATCCTTCGAATTTTTCCCCCCTCCGCGATGTCTACATCTAGCCACCGCATCAACTCCCGCTTCAGACGCTCCATGGAGTGAATGTGCCAGAATTTCATTTTCATCGCAGGTTTCGTGGCGGAGAATATAACGTAACCATCTCTGCTAAAAATCATAGGCGACGTCATTACGCAAATAACGGAGTACAAAATAAAAATACAGTGCGAGAAAGTGTGAGAAATTTCGGAGAAACGGACGAATTATTTATAAAACAGCATTTTGCCCTAGTTTTGCCCTAGGCGCCAAGTGAGATGGCGCCTCCTCTCATTTTTAAGGAGCATGCGCCATCTCACTTGGCTAAAAGCCAAGGGAGGCGCCAAGTGAGATGGCGCCTAGGGCAAAACCCTAGGTGGAGGCGCCAAGTGAGATGGCTCCTCCTTTGTGGAGCCATCTGAAACATGGTTATTTGCGTAATTTTTTCCGAAACACGGTTATTTGCGAAATATTATTTTAATACATGATTATTAATAAAAAAAATTCTGAGAGTGATGGGCTAAATTAGTAGTGTCATGGGTCTACAAGGTCAAAATAATTAATTTGTAAATAGATTTTCATTAAAGAAATTAATAAAAATAATTTAAGAAAATATATAAAAATAATAAAAACGTGTAATTAAATCAAAAAGTAAAAAATAAAAAAATTAAATTAAATAATTAAGGAATTCCACGTGGCTTCTAAATATTAAATTAAAAATAAAACTAAAAACTAGTAGCATATGAGAAACAAGCACTTCTATATTAAAAACTTATTACTATATCAATTATGGAATCTGGGCTAAGCAGGGGCTATAGCGAGAGAATTTGGGAACCCTTTATTATTTTAATTAGAAGCATAATCACAATAAATATGAGTAAACCTGCTTGTAATAAGTCAAGAAACCACAATTGATATATTAACTCTCAATTGATATATTAATAAGTTTTGCAGTATACACGAGCACTTTTATCATTACTAATTAAGAACTAGTAGCATATGAGAAACAAACCTACTTCATTTGAATCAACACATGTCTCAAAACTGTCTTGCAGATTTAAACTTGGGTCCTCACGTGCCTCCACATGATTACCATTTTTTGAGCCTTCTACTTCTGGTTCAGCCTGCAACATATACTCTGCACCTGCTGATTTAGCTTATGAACTAGAATCATGTGATTAGGTTTCACAGTCAACTTTGTTTACAGTCAGCTTATATCTGATAAATGTCTTTTTTGGGTTTCCTTTAATTCATTATCGTCAATCTTATATTGACACTGCACAAAAGCACTGTTAGAGGTACCTAAAGAGTTGTTAATATGATAATCTGCATAAATACTAGAAGATAGGGTATGAGAAGAACCAACTTCCATTTGATTATTTGGCACAACTTTAAGAAAATAGTCTGAACATGGTGGATTAACTTCTTTTCTGTTCGGAACTGCATCATTATTTAATGGTGAAGCGTCATGTATCAGTACATCAAGATTGCATACATCACTTTCATTAGCCAATGAAGTGGTACTCGTGTTTATTGAAATACAATCCTTTGCAACTAAGGAATTAGTTTCCAGGTTCTCCAGCTCAGTATCTTTACTCCCAAGTTTGTTTTCATCAAAGCCAAATTTTTAAAAGCCAAATTTTCAGAACCAAACACTGCTTTGAAAATAATGGCCATGTCAGACAATCTTCACACTCATAAACTAATATGCATAAACAACAAGAAAATGGAAATTAGACAAACCTCATAAAGATATAGCTGGATAAAAGATGACATGAAGTTCATATATATCTCCTAGTAGTTTTCACAGTTAATAGTGACCTCACTTGGAAGATGTTCTTGAATCTACTCGTAAAGCTCTAGTAATCCCTTTTTTTATCTGAAAGTGATCAAACTCTGGATCTGGGTTATTGTTAAAATATGAGATTGAAGCTGAACAATCATTGTGGTTTTCCTTTGATCTTCTTTGACTGATCAAACAGAGAGAACAATCCAGTATGAGGAAAATATCTTGTCTTTGTAGATGGCTGGAAGACATCCCATATGTTTCTCCATCAGACAAACTCAATAAAAATGGAGATCCTTCAAGACAACTACCTTGAGCAGATAGAAATTGAATTAAAGGTTGTAGCAGAAGCTCTTGAAAGTAGTTATGAAGGATTTCAAGCCATTTCTAAGGAACAACATAACAAATGGACGAATTCATCCTAATTGTTCCCCTGCAAATCATCACAAGGAATCATAAATATCATAGACCATGCATAAGCATAAAATTAGCATAACCTCAGAGAAACCACTACGAATATTATGTACTGAAGTGAACACAAACTCTGAAACTAAGACAACAACATTGACCGGAACGTGTTGAACAAATTGATTTTCAACATCTAACAAATTCACCTGCCACATAAAAAATGCAAATCATATTCAAAATAAACTCAGCATCACAATGCACATCACAATGCACATCACAATGCACATTAAAACACAAGCAAAAAGAGAAAAGAAACCGGTTGAAACATTTTGTTGAACACGTGACACATGAGTTCTAAAAACGGTAGTAACGGCGACAATTCTCCATCAATTCACACACCGCAAATGATCACTAATCAACAATACTAGTAGTACAACAACTCAACATCATGAATTGAAAGAATTGAAGAAAAAAGAATCAAAAGATACGGTTGAGGCGTTTTATCGAACACCTTGCGAGCAAGACCAAGAGCTGTATTTTTCTGCATTTTTAACCTGTAAACACTCCTCCATTTAGCTTCATAATGGTGTATCCTAGTGTTAACTTAATTTAGAATCAATACCGGAATAAAACACCATAGAAACCAATTGAAACTGTAATCAACGTGAATCATTCACCGCTTGTTTTGGTTTACGCCATGTTTGCGTGTTATGTTTCGTGTAATTTTCCATCTAATTGCGATGAGCGCTTTGTGTTAGCAACTTGCTTCTGATTTTTGGTTAGCGTACGACCTTTTAAATTGTAGTTGTTACACTGACTCTTTTAAAAAACAGACTTATCAGTGAATTACTGGATCATCGATCCAACCGCGAGACTAAATTGAACTAAATTGGATAATAGTTCAGTTATTATAAAAAAATTATATAAATATAAAAACTGTCAAAGAATGATTCGGTCTCTATAAAATATAAATAGCATTTAAACCTTTTGAAAATATCATATCATAAATAAATTTTCAAGTTCATAATTTAATTTCAAATTTTAAGCATAGGTATCACATGTAATAAAATAGTACAAAATTACAAAGTCTAATTACAAACAAAGTCTAATTTCAACATAATATAATTGAATAATTTATAACTAAATAATTTCATTGTCTATTAAATTTAGTTTTAAGGAAGATATTTTTTTTAAATGTTGAGATCTCCTTCTTTAATATCAAAATCATCTGTAACAAAATCAATTGCATTTGCAACGTCTTTCCCGTCAATGATATCATTATTTTATTTTTTATTTATTTTTATTTTATTTTATTATTAAAATAATCAAAATGATGTTGCTTTGATTTTTTAAAATAAATAAAAGTTAAAAAAGCAATTAAATCATTGGTTTAAGAAAATTATCATTTTTTCCGGTTTTAGCGGTTTACACCGATTTTTATCAGTTCGTACCGATTCAACGACATATATGATCCAGCAATTGAACCAGACCGGCTATCTGGGCGGTTCCCAGTTTGATCGGTCCGACTGACCGGTCAAGTTCGGTTTTTAAAACACTGATGCAAATCACTCTTATTCCCTCAAAGTATCAAAGTGCAGTCGAGAAACGAGTTCTGAGAAATGAGTTCTGAGAAATGAGTTATTTTCAATATGCGTTAAAGTCATTTACAATCTGATCTTACTTGGCCAGAAGGGATTATCAAAGCCCACAAGCTTCGAGTACAGGAGCCCCCCAAGTTATTTCCCTTAGGTAAGAGGGTGATGACTTAAGTTCAGCTCCACTGTCAGGGAACCCTCGCCCGAGAAGGGAAATTGCACATCTCCATCAGGGATAACTCGTTGACTCGTGTCGGGGACTCCGAAAACACGCGAACGGCGTGGTCAACCAGACCAGTGGGCGGTCCAATGATCGGCTTCATTTCTGATTTTGTTCATTTGGTGCCCGTCAGGAATATACAACTATAGGATGCGAAGAGTTTCCTTGAGTACTCTTTTTTCGACGTGCCCGTCTGTAGGGTGTTGTTACGATGTCGAGCGTCTACCCAACCCTCGGGAGTGAAATGGTAAGAAGGTGCTCGTATGCAAGGCGTTGTCATGATGTCACACGCTTGCCTGCAACTGAGCGGGAAACGTCATCGAGAAGCCCGTATATGCATTAAAGTCGGGGATTAGTTCGCGTTCAAGAGTGGGTACGTGGCTGCTCATTAACCCCATGTGGCAGTTGTTTGAGTGACAACTTTTCATAGGGGAGTTCAAAAGCCCAAAATAATGATTACTTTTCGTGTGTTGCCTCGTGGGGTGTGAACCATCTATAAAAAGGGGAACTCAGGGGTTCATTTGTTATTGTCAAGATCTTTCTTTTCCACTCTTCTTCGTTTGCTCGTGGGTTTGCTTTGTTCCACTGCATCATAGAATTCTTCAAATTTAATCTTCTTCCAAGTAAGTAATATCTTCTTGGCAACGTTTTTTCCCAAAATTCTTAGATTAATGGCTTAGATTTTGTCATGAATGGATGAATCCTGGATGAATATTCATGGGTTCTACAATGAATCTTCATGGATGTTCATCAAGGTTTATGACTGTGGACAGAAGTTCCTAGGCCCAACCTCATAGTTTAGTGTCAGGGTTATCCTCCCTGAATGGTGGGGTGGACTTGGGCAGCTTTGCCTGTTTTACCAAATGTCCCCGCGGAGGGTATAATTTATTCATGTGTGGCAGTCGAGAGCTTGGGTCGAGGTCCGTTCCTCGACGCATTCATCGCCCTTTCACTTAATTTATGGTGGAAGGGTGAATTTGATGATGTCAAATTCACTATTTTCCCCTGCTTTTCAGGTATAATGGCACACCCAATCGAGGAAGACACAGGGCCCGCCACTCACAAGAACGAAACTAATGTCGCGGAGGGTCCTTTGGCCTGGGTTGCACCTGAGCCTAAGAACAAAAGGTTGTGTTTTTCGCAGGATGCTTCTGACGCGTTCAATTTCCCAGAGGTTCGAGCAGAGGGTGCTCCGGCCAATTGGGCTTTTCATATCCGTCACCGAAATAGGAGGATATGCTCGGCATACCCGGGAAAACGCTTCCCCATGTATGAATTTGCCTTCAAGGAGGTGGGGATGCGTCTACCATTCAATGACTTCCAAGTGGGGGTTTTCCAATGACTACAATTGGCACCCTCTCAGCTTCATCTGAATGCGCTTGCGTTCATGCGCGCATTCGAGCTTGTATGTCAATATCTTTAAATAGGCACCACCCTGCCCCTCTTCTTTCGCATCTTCCACTTGCAAAGGCAATCCATCGGAGGGGGACAAGCTTGTGTGTCGTTTAAACAGTTTGGGAAACTCTTTTGGTCGTATCTCGAATCTGTTCGCCACTTTAAAGAGAGGTACTTCATCGTGAAGCCTCTTATGGAAGCGGTCATAGATTTCTTGTACGATCGCACGAAAGATATTGAGGAAGTTCGACCAGTAGTTCGGCTGATGTCTAGATTTCCTCTTGAATGGAAATGGAAACATTTCGAACAGAAGTCCGAGTACTACGCGGTGAAACCTGAGGACTTAGATGCCCAGGATCAGCTTTCCTATGAGAAGTTGGTGGCTTATGTCAAGAGTTTCTCACTGGCGAGATGTATGGACGTGGATAACAACTTCCTTTTTTATGATAAAGGGGAGTATCTCCTTGTTCACAGACTGATTAATACGAAAGCATTGCTCGAATGTTCCTCAGACGAGGAGGCTTTAAATCTTTTAGGTAGTGGATATGCTCGTGATCTTATCTTTATATGTTTGGCTTTTATGCAGGGGACATGACCGCGATATTATCTTTGTTTGTCCCGTGACAAATAGTTTCTTTTTTATTACAGGTATGATGGTGTCCCTCTCTGAGCATTTGCTAAAGTTGAGGCCCAAAAATGCATCCAATTTGGGGCTCAAGAATCGGGTTGCTCAACTTCAGGAGCAGGCCAAAGCTTCAGCCCGAGTGAGTGGTTCTCCTTCTTCCTCGAAGACAAAGGTTCCTCCTCCCGAGACCCTGGTAAAGAGGAAGCGCTTGGAGGATCCCGAGCGAGTTACGCCCGAAAGTCACAAGGGAGTCGGGGCAGTTTGCGTGTTGCCTCCCTACTATCTCAACCGTGATGTTTTTAGCGGGGAGCGTTCTCTAGGGCTTCATGAGGAAGAAATGGAAGCGATCTTGTCTGAAGATAAGGAAACTCGGTGAAAAAACATGTCAGACGACGTGGCCGCCGTGATGAGGGTGCTTGAAACGGCATTGACGTTGAATGATGAGGTCCCGGGCTCTCAGGTCGCCCTCGACACAGCTTATGCCCAGATCCAATAGTTGCAAGGGATAAATGAAAAGTTGAAGGGTGACATCCTCAACCATGAAACAAAGTATGAGGCACAAGTTCATCTCCTCAAAGATCTGAATGAGGTGTGGCCTCAGTTGGAGGCCGTGAATAAAGAGAACGAGCGACTGGTCGCCAAGATAAAAGAGATGGAAGGGATCATGGCGTCTGCTGACGAAGAGAATGACACAGAGAAGGCCCTCATGACCAGGAGGGATCTAATCGTGTGGAGTCGTGTGCTCGAACAGGATGTCATGGATACCCTTAGTTACGGCTTCAACACAGTCGTGGAGTAGCTCAAGATACTGAACCCGGGGGTCGAGCTAGTAGTTGAAGGAGCGTGGCCTTTTAATCAAGTGGTTGATGGAAATATTTTATATCCCCCCGATGATAGTCCCGCGGAGGAGAGTGATGGGGAGGACGATATTTGATATGTTTCCGGGCCTACGTGTGTTGGCTCCTAAATTTGACACCTACTATATATTGGCCTTATAGGCCAAAAGTAA